TGTAGTGGCTTAAAATGAGAATAAACATTTATTGCCTCATAGTTTCTGTGGATCAGGAATTTGGGAGATACTCAGCTGAGCAGTCCTAGTTCAGTGTCTTTCATGAGGTTGCAATCAAGATGTCAGCCAGGGCTGCTGTCATCAGGCCTGACTGGGGCTGAAGGATCCACTCTCAAGGTGGCTCACCCATTCAACTAGCGAGTTGGCATTGGCTGTTGGCAGAAGGCCTCAATCCTCTGCCTTGGGGACCTCTCCCTAGGGCTGCTTGAGCATCCTCACAACATGGCAGCTAAGGACAGCCCTTGCCATAGACCTTCCACCAACTTTGTGTCAGGACTGTGCTAAGCATTTAATGATATGATCTGCCCTCGAGCAGCTTACAATCTAGCAGAGACACCAATCATTACAGTTCAAGGTAGAGTCAAATAAATGACAAGAATCAGGAGACTAAAGGCTGGAGAGATGGAGCCTCTGAATTGAGGGATGGGGAAAGGGTTGTCTAAGTGAGACCTTGAAGTGTGGATGGGATGTGGACCCCCAGAAGTGTGAGATGCTGTATTCTCCAGTCAAGAGTTCAGCATGAACAAAGGCATGGCAGCTGAGAACAGGGTGTATGTTTGGGGATTGGAGAGTAGGGACTCCAAAGGTACATTTGGGGCACATTGGAGGGGAGCATTGTGGCCACTCAGTCCATCCAGGTGACCACCCACTCTCGGCTGTGCTCAGAAAGTGGGATGGGAAAGGCTCATTGAGCCACAGCTCTATCTTCTCCTCTCCCCTTCTCTTCTTACCCCCGGCAGAGCTTTGCCAAAACCACCACCAAAACTTACACAGAGTAGTGGAGGCTGTCTAGGGACCAAGCAAGGGAGAGGACCCCTCCCCAACCCTATGAGAAAGGCAGTAACCTGGGGCTGGAGTGGTCTCCACATTCCAGCCCCTGAGGCTGGCCAAGCCTGCCTGGAGGGCTCCAGTCTGCCCTCCCTGCCCTTGACTGCTTGGCTGTCCCTGGAGGGCAGGGCCACCCAAAACCTTCCCTCCCTCCTCCACAAAGGCATCCCTAAGCACCTCTGAACCTGCAGTCTGGGTCACTCATTAGGCGTTAGCAGAGACTACTGGCCTTTCTTGGTTACTTTTGTGATCAGAGGCAGGAGCTGCAGTTGGCTGTGGTTGGGAGCATGACCTGAGGAGCCAGACGCAGGCTCAGGTCTCTGTGCCCTCACTCATCCTCTGTGCATCAACTCTTAGTGGCTTCATTTTCCTCATCTGTAAAATGGGAATGATGATAACAATAGGAGCTAAATGCTTTATTGTGAGGACTGAGTAAGCCTAAGGGCAGATGACAGTCCTGACTTCTCTTTGGGAAACCTGCTGTTTAGGGAGAGGATTTGACCTGAAGACAGAAGGTGCTGGCTTGGCCTGCCCTATCCTCCCAGTTCATTTCATGGGTCCTGAGTATCTGAAGCAAAGAGCTTGGGGCCAAGGAGGTGGGACAGGTATCTGATGGGTCCCCCTTGCTCGTTGCACAGATGCTCATACCACACCTGACTCGAGCATCCAAAATTAAATGTAGCTCAGACTTGAGGCCTCCCCTCTGATCCAGGCCTCCAGGGGCTGCTTGCTGGCCCCCAGCCCAGCTGCCCAAAGGCAGCCCCCTTGGGGCATGGCAGCCCCAAAGGAGCCCGCCAGCCTGCAGCCACGCAGGCAGCCGTGGTTTCCTAAGTCCTCTGCATTCCCTTGGGTGCCCACCACTACAGTGGGGAGCCAGGGAAAGGAGGAAGTCACTAGGAGCTTCTCTCCTCCTCTGGATGTAGGAGGTGGCCTCAGAGCTCTCTCTGCAGCACAGCCCATTGAAGCCTCAGCCTGGGGACACCCTCCCTGGTCAGAGAGAAGGAGGGGTGTCCATCAGCTAATTCTACACAGGCCCTCAAGGGATCTGGGTGGATATGGTGCATCTGAGCCCCCAGAGAAATGCAGAAGTGGAATGGTTTGTCAACAGACAAGAACCATGTTCAACGGGGCCACTCAGAACAGAACCTGGCCCTTCAGACCAAGGGCAGCTTGGTGGGGCTGCCCACTTTGTGCCACTGTTCCCACAGCCTGGTACACTGTTCTCCACATCCTCCCCTGCTGGATCCTTCTCCTCTTCTGGGTCTCTGCTCAAATGATACTTCCTCAAGGAAGCCTTCCCTGTTGACCCTGGGTAAAGCGCTCCCCTCCTCTCCTCCCTTACAGCTCTGTGGTAGATAGCTGGATGAGAGATGGAGAGAAGCGAGGAGATTGATTAGTGGCTTTAGGTTGTTTCCTGTCATTTGCTTTTCTTCAACTTTTTCTTTTGAGATACTTATTTCAGCTACAGTTGTAAGAGATGACACAGAGACATCTCATGCACCCTTTATGCAGTTTTCTCCAATGGTAACATCTTGCAAAACCATAGTACAATATCAACCAGGATATGAACACTGATAGAATCAATACACAGAGCATTTCCATCACCACAAGTATCTCTCTTGTTGCCCTTTTATAGCCACACCCACTTCCCTGCCACCACCACCACCACCTCCTTAGTCCCTGGCAACCCTCATCTATTCTCCATTTCTGTAACTTTATTATCTCAAGAATGTTATAGAAATGGAATCATGCAATATCTAACCCATTGGGATTGGCTTTTTTCACTCAGCATAACTCCCTGGAGATTCATCAAGGCTGTTGCACATACTGAGAATTGATTCCTTTTTATTGCTGAATAGTATTCCATGGCATGGACATACCACAATGTTTAGCCACACACCTTTGAAGGATGTCTAGGTTATTTCCAGTTACTCACTATCATGCATAAAGTAGCCATGAACATTTGTGTGTGAGTTTTTTGTGGACATAAGATTTCATTTCTCTGGGGTATATGCTCAATAATTCAATTGCTGGGTCATATGGCAGTTGCATATTTAGTTTTTTAAGATCTGCCAAATCATTTTCTAGAATAGCTGTACCATTCTACCTTCCCACCAGCAATATATGAGTGATCCTTTTCTCCACATCCTCACCAGCATTTGGTGTTGTCAGTATTTTTTTATTTTAGCCACTATCCTATGTATGTAGTGATATCTTATGATAGTTTTAATTTGAATTTCCCTAATCACTCATGATATTGAACATCTTTTCAGATAAGATGGCTTATCTGCATCTGTATACTCTGTGTGGTGAATCTTGCTGTACATTTTTATCACAGTTGTTATATCCCTCTAAGCTCTGTTAGAGCAAAGGCCTTCTTGATTTGTTCTCTGTGCATCCCCAGAGTCCAGTACAGAGCCTGGCATGGGGAGACTACCCAATAATATTTAGAGAATGAATGAATGGACTGCCAGGGTCTCTGGCCCTTTTAAAGATGAGAAGGTAGGAAAGCAGTGAGGCCTTAGCTCTGGGAAGCCTCCTGAGCACCTGGCCTGTGAAATTGCTTAGGGAAGACCTGGGCTGCCCCATGGTAGAGGAGAAGGTGAGGGCAGGGGAGGGGCACCCAGCATCCTCCATGCCTGCCACCTCCCCAGTGCCTCCAGGTCACACTCACACTTTATGAGCCGGCACTTCTCACTCCTCCCCTCCCACTGCCTCTGCCTTCCCAGGGCAGAAACATCCAGAAGATAAAGGCGTAAGGATCTCCAGAGCTCTTCCCACTGGGGCGTGGGGCTTTAGGATTTGTTTTCCTTTTTGTTTTCTCCCCACTTTATTTGTACCAAGATAAGGGCCAGGGCTTTGCTAGGATTTATCTAGATGGGCCATGTTGAAGCTTTGCTGTAAGTGGAAGAGCCCTGTCAAGCTTGTCCGACCCACCTTATTTTATTGTTGTTGTTGTTCTGTTTTGTTGTTTTGTTTTAGGCTTTTAGCAGCCTGAAGCCATGGTTTTTAGTTTCTGTCTCTAGTGATAAGCGGAAAAGAGGGATGAGGAAGGGGCTTTACTGGCCCAATCAGAAACAGAAACAAACAACCCATGAATGTTTTCTCTCCTTGGATGCCCCTACCTTCCCTGGCAGATGCCGCATTTTGTCCCGGTTGACTATGTTCACCTAGGCTGTGAGCTGTGCTTCCTAAAGGAAGGGATGCCAGTTGTCCTCTGTCATGCCCTGCTTTCTCCTGGTGGCTGCCACTGGCCATACTTTACATATAACATATATAATGATAAGGTGTCTCAGAAGATGCTTCTCACCACAGGGGTTGATATTTTCATGAGGCTAACAGAATATAGACATGAAAAATTAACTAACAATGTACTAGAATTTATATTTATATTGCATTATATTTATATTGAATATTGCATTTATATTTGTATTGAATTTAAATATAGGTGAAATCTCTCTCAGATATACACATATAGGAAGTTAGTGTTTTTTTTAAAAAAAGATCAAGATTTACAAATGGAAGGAAACTTCAACTACAATGAACGAGTAAGGTCAGGAAGCAAAACATACCACAGAGCCCCCATTCACTTGCTGAAAATGGGCCACGAAATTTGTTTTAAGCTTCCTAGTAGCCAGTGCAAAGTGTAAGTCTGTTACAGAGTCAGAGGATTTGTGAGACAAATCAGAGCATCTTCTCAGCAGAAGCACTGAGGTCCTTGCCCCACAGAGGTGGTCCTGTTCCTGTAGCCAAGGCAACAGCTGGGTTCATGTGGCTTTTCATCCTGCAGTTGTATTCTGCAACTGCATGTTGGCAAAGTGGAAATAAGTAAAACCAAGCCTGAGAGAAGCCTTGCAGCCTTTAGTGAGTAGCTGACACCAGCTGCCCAGTGAGAAGCCTAACTCCAAGAGTCTTAGGGGTCCAGAGAAAAGCCCCAGCCTGTAAGCCAGGCTGTGAATTGCAGGTGAGATTTGGCAAAGCTGAGAGGTAGGAGGACTAGCCTCGCAGTGGAAAGGGAGCCCTTATGCCAAGAAAGTGGCTCAGAGTCCTAGAGCTGAGACCCCTCCTGGGGCCACGCTCACTAACCCAGTCTTCTCTGTGTGTCTCTGCAGGGCTCTGGCTGAGAACATGGCCAATGACATTGATGAGCTCATTGGCATTCCCTTCCCCAACCACAGCAGTGAGGTCCTGTGCAGCCTCAATGAGCAGCGGCACGATGGCCTGCTGTGTGACGTGCTCCTGGTGGTGCAGGAGCAGGAGTATCGGACCCACCGCTCTGTCCTGGCTGCCTGCAGCAAGTACTTCAAGAAGCTCTTCACAGCTGGCACCCTAGCCAGCCAGCCCTACGTCTACGAGATCGACTTTGTCCAGCCTGAGGCTCTGGCCGCTATCCTGGAGTTCGCCTACACCTCCACACTCACCATCACTGCTGGCAACGTCAAGCACATCCTCAATGCAGCCAGGATGCTGGAGATCCAGTGCATTGTGAACGTGTGCCTGGAGATCATGGAGCCTGGAGGGGACGGAGGGGAGGAGGACGACAAGGAGGATGACGACGATGACGAAGATGATGATGATGAGGAGGACGAAGAGGAGGAGGAGGAGGAGGAAGAGGAGGATGACGATGATGACACGGAGGACTTTGCTGACCAAGAAAACTTGCCTGACCCCCAGGACATCAGCTGCCACCAAAGCCCTTCCAAGACGGACCATCTCACAGAGAAGGCCTATTCAGACACCCCCAGGGACTTCCCTGACTCCTTTCAGGCTGGCAGTCCTGGCCATCTGGGGGTGATCCGGGACTTTTCCATCGAATCTCTGCTGAGGGAGAACCTGTACCCCAAGGCCAACATCCCCGACAGGAGACCCTCCTTGTCTCCATTCGCCCCGGACTTCTTCCCACACCTCTGGCCAGGGGACTTCGGTGCCTTTGCCCAGCTGCCTGAGCAGCCCATGGACAGTGGGCCACTGGATCTGGTCATCAAGAATCGGAAGATCAAGGAAGAGGAGAAGGACGAGCTGCCCCCACCCCCACCGCCACCCTTCCCTAATGACTTCTTCAAGGACATGTTCCCTGACCTGCCGGGGGGCCCTCTGGGACCCATCAAGGCGGAGAACGACTACGGTGCCTATCTCAACTTCCTGAGTGCCACCCACCTGGGAGGCCTCTTCCCACCCTGGCCCCTGGTGGAAGAGCGCAAGCTGAAGCCCAAGGCCTCTCAGCAGTGCCCCATCTGCCACAAAGTCATCATGGGGGCCGGGAAGCTGCCGCGGCACATGAGGACCCATACCGGGGAGAAGCCATACATGTGCACCATCTGCGAGGTCCGCTTCACCAGGTGCGCATGGCAGCCCTCGGGTGCGGGGGACGGGGCCAGAGGCCATGGGGACAGCAGAGTTGGGCAGGGAGGCTGGGGATGGAGACAGAGACCCAGATGGATCCCAGACACATGCAGGCTTGCGGCTAGCAGGGGGTGCTAGGCATCACCTGATGCTGTGTCTTTCAAACCCTTTTTAGGGGCTGCAGTATTTTCTCAGATACAATATTAGGTGGAAGCCCATGACATAGAGCAGGTAAGAGCGGGCTGTTCTGGCTGGGAGGGAAGTGGGGCGCCTCAAGCACCTTGGTTGCTTGGCTTCCTCTTCTCCTTCCAGCCGTAAACTCGTGGAACCCAGTTTGAATGGATGGCACTCCCCGGATGGAGTGCCGCCCCTTCGTTTGATTTGGAGAAGCAGCCACTCACCTTTATTAAGCCTGCTCTGCATGCCAGGGGCCATCCTAGGCACCTTAAATACACTCTTGCCACAGCCAGGCCCTGGAAAGATGGGGAGACATGGTTGGCTTTGTTTACGACACATCTCCCAGTGGCTAGCTGACCTGGGCAGCTGGAAAATGGCAGAGCTGGGACTGGAATCCCAGTCTCTGTGTAACAGCAAAGTCTGTGACCAGTAAACTGCAGAGATGCCTGTAGGTTCTTTCAGTCATTTTTGGGTCAGACCTAAAGGCTGGGCCTCTTTTTATGTTCTCCTCTTTGCCTTTCCATTTGAGGAAGGGGGGCAACTTTATGCTGTTATAAAACTTGAAATTTGAAATCAATACATTATAAACCTTTCATCTTTCATAGACTCCGTCCCTTTCAGCAAACGTATGTTATATGCCTACTCTGTACAGCAATTTTTGCAGTCAAAACTGATTGGCGGGTTGATGTGGGGTCAGATCTGCCCGCTGCCAGCTTTAGATAGGCCTCACTTTTGGAAAATATGGCCCGTTGGTGCTATCTGTGGTTCCTGGTGCGAGGCTGATCTTCTCAGCCAAGTCCACAGGTGGGGAGGGCTCTGGTGGGTGGCCTGGCGTCAGGGTTTGGTCGTTTCGGTGTATCCTATGTGTACAGAGCCTGGCGATGCCTGCCCTGGGACCATGACTTACTAGACTAGGTCCCTTCCCCACACTGCCACTGTCCCTCTCAAAGAACTCACTTTGAGAGCCCCACACTTACGCCAGTGGCGCTGCTGCCCCACTTCCTCTTGGAGATGTGTCTTTGGGAATTGCTGACAGCTCATTCTTTTGATTTTCCTCAGTGGGCCCAAAGCTTTGGCCTGAGGACACAGTGCAAGGTTGTGAATGAGACTGGATATCAAATCAGGGACCATGGTTTTCCAGGAAAAAAAAAAAAAAAAAAGATGAGTCCTCTAAAGTCATGAGACTATTTCCAAGGTGGCCTTGGGGTCCTGCTCACAGCTGCTTCTGTGAGGGGAACCCCAGACAGCATCTGTCCCAGATGTTTCCAGTGACAGTGGAGGGAGAATCTGCAGGAGCAAAGGGGCAGGGCCTCACAGACCCAAGATGTGTCCCCTTGCCCTTAGCAGTGAGCTAAGCCAGCCACCCAGCAATGCTGACGGCAGGATTCTCTGCTCCTGTTACTCCCCAGAGCAGAAGGACCTAAAGTTCCTGAGATTCTCCTCCTCTTGGATGTCCCTCAGTGACAGCCCTGTCACCCCAATGCCACCACGGGTAATGCTGCCCCCTGCCTCCTCCTGAATTCACCTTAGCCCCACAGAACCAGGCAGAATACCTGAACAGGGCTTGGCAAAAGCACAGGAATGACCAAGGGAGATAAGCCAGCACACCATGTGAAAGCCAGATTCAAGTACAGCTCACCCATCTTCACAGGGGGCCTGACTTCAGCCCGAGAGTCCCAGCCCCTGCATATGACTTTAAGGATGCCAGGAAGCTCTTCACAGGCCAGATCAGGAAAGCTAGCCATGTTATCAGCCTGGAGTGCTCTGTCCTGCCAACACAGGCTCCACCTCCCTCACTGCCCATGCCTGTCCCCTTGGCAGATGGCTAACAGGAGCACCTCTCCCTTCAGGGGAGACCAAGGCTAGTGACTCCAATTCCAAAAGGATCTGTGTCTCAGGACATCGCATGGTGGCCCCGCTGGCACCCTGAGCCCCCATCTCCCTTCCTTCCCC